CAGAACCCCATTTATTGGCTCCCGTACCCTGCTCACCCTTGCCTTATCCCTACCATCTCTTGCCTTGTCCCGTGGCTACCCATCCCTGCTGGGTGTCATGGTCTCACAGTGGTCTCCTGAATAGAGTTGAAACCCTGCCTGGGAGTTTCTGGGATGAAGCATCGACCCCATCCTGCTTCCGCTGCCATCTTAGCACAGACATCAACCTCTCAACTGAACTTGCAGACTTTGGTGAACTGTGACCTTGTGTGAGCTAAATTGTGACTCATCTGAGGTCAGTTTACTCAGCCAGCAGCTGACTGTGGTAACGTGAGTCAAATGGATATGGAAACGGTTCCTTCCTCTACATCCTTAAGGGACCGGAGCATATTATCCTGTGTGTTCCAGAACGGAGGAGCGGAAGTAGTGGAGGCAGAGATAAAAGCACAGACATAGTAGTTGCAGACTCAGCAAGTCTGGTGTGCACAGTTCTGGCATGGGAGGACGGCCCTGCGCCTGTGGGTAGCCATGAACACTGTTCTTCCTGGCCGCTGTTTCATACCTGGGGTCCTTTGCAAAAATAAATAAATAAAAAAAATAAAAATCATAAAGTTGGGTGTGATGGCACAGGACTTGGGTGGACTGGCTGTTTTGGAGTGACACACAGAATGTCGCAAACATGAAAAGAACTGATTCCTGAATGGTCTTGAAATTCCAGGTCCTGAGCCTTAGAACTATTTCACTTGGAAAGCACTGGGAGGCTCAGGCCCAGGACTTGAAAGCACAGGTGGGGTGGGGTGGGTTGGGGGGCGGGGGGGTGGGCCTCAGGCACAGGCCTTAAAAGGGGTGCAGAATTGCTGGTTAGAGGGATATGAGGCATCACACCGGATACTTAGCACCATCTGGACATGACCAACACTTAAGGGAAGCAATATTCCCACCATTTGTCAGCCTGTGAGTATCACACCTCATGGAGGACCCCTAAGGTGTGGCTTCACGCCTCCTGTTCCCACCACTGACTCACACAGCTCACAGCAGCTGAAGATCAATATAGAAACACAAAGCAATGTTTTTATTGATTCCCTGGGCCCCTCAGCCATTAACTTAGATCCAAACCTCATCCTGGATATGGATAGGATGGGGACAACTAAGGGGAAAAAAAAATCAGCATTAGCTTTTCTACCATTTACAGGGAATATAGGAGACAAACAAAAAACACCAGTCAAAAGTGTAGACTGCCCAGTCAGGATTCTGATCCCAGGAAGACTGGCAACTCACAGAGGCTCCTGAGAGTGGGTTAGCATGGGACCATGAAAACAGTGTCTCAGGTTGGAAGTGAGAGGCAGCAGCATGTGGAAGAGGCTTATCTCTAAATAAATTCAATTACGGCCCAGAACTATGAGAACTTTACAGTTCGGAGACATGGGCAAGGTCCTAGGCTACTTTTATAGGCTTGTTAATTTAGGCTGAAACAGAGAGAATGGAGGTTTCTGTGTCCACTGTCCCTACAGCACCTGCAGGCCCAGCCCTCTGCTCTGACTGGGGTTTCCTGGAAACCACAGCTAAGGACTGGTTTTAGCACAGCAGCCCTGTACTCTCAGCCTGTGGACTGCACCGCTTTCTTGCTGACCCTGAATTCTGTTTCTAGGAGATGGGCCGATTCCACCTCCCCGCCAAACTGCTGGGAAGGTTTTGAGATTATATTTTGAGATATTTGAGATTATAAATTTCATTTCTGGGATTTGAAAGAACTGTCAGAAGAGGGGAGAGGGAATGCTGCAGGGCCTAGCAGATTTCCACAAAGACAAGGCCTGCCAGTTGAAGATACTAGCTTTCCCTGTGTCTCCTTCACAGGGCAATAAGTTCCAGTTTTCTGAGCTAAGTTTCTATCTTCTTAAATGGACTTAATAACATTGTCTTGGGGGTATTCAAAGTCCTGATCAATTAAGGATTGCAAAGGGCTTTGAAAATACGTAAGCTTTCTGTAAAGGTGGTATTTAATATTTATAACGGCAAATCTGTGCTTATGGGCTCCATAAACTTTAACTGACGGTGCATGACTTAGCATTATGGCTGGCTTTTTTGAGTTCAGCATATTTCATTTTCAATTAATTAACTGATGTGTTAAGGGGACTTCCTGTATCTATCCAGGGGCTTAAAAGTCCAATTAAGGACTTATCTTAAACAGTTCCAGTTAATTCACAAGGACATTCTACAATCCAGACAACACAGCCCACAGAACTGGTTCCAGGCCCTGTAAAGCCCAGACTTTGGAGGTAGCACTGTGATTTAATTTCATTAAAATTACTTAGTAGGACTATAAACCAAACCACAGACACTCCCTTTTACCCAGTGTAAAGAATTTTCTTTGTCAGCCCCTAAAAGCCAATCCCAAACAGGGCCCATGCTTTGGCAGCAGCGTTGGCAGACTGTGGTGTCAAGGTGTGAGTTCAGACTGCAGCTGGGGAGGGAGAGTGGTTAGAAGCCAGCTTCCACTGCAAGTCTGCGACCCCCTCCTTCCCTGCAAAGCTCAATCCTGTTCCCTTAGACAAAGGGTTCCCCTCCCCCATCAGCAGGATGGTGATTGGTGGTTGGTTAATGGTGACCTTGGAACCTCCCTCATTCCCCTGTCACCACCACTGGCCTCGGCTGATGTCTTCCCCAAGGGATTAATTCACACAATACAGCTCCAATTTTCCCTCATGGAGATGGAAAAGGTTTTAGACTGTGATTGTTCCTATCTTTCATCAATACAGAATTAAACGAATGGGAGGCTGAGCCTTCAGGTGAACGCAGTACTATACAGTCCCTGAGGCCAGGGGCAGGTGGTCACATCCCTCACCTCAGATCTACCTTTCTATGGCCAGATGAAAAGGAAAGAATTCATTTTCCTGGAGTCACAAGAATTCACAGAAGACATCTTTCCACACAGCTGCCAGATTACTTAATGAAGAGTGCCACCCTGTGTCTGACTAGGGAAACCAGAGTCAGGAGAAGGACCTAGGAAGTTCGACAATGGAATCCAGCATTACTGTACGTCAAGAGTGCTTCTCCTTAAGATTGGCTCTTCCTTAGATCCCTCAGGAAGTAAAGCTAGAAAGAGGCTTCACCAGCATCCCAGACTGCACATTTCCACTGATGATCCTGTTGGGATGCAAACCTTTGGCCCAGGAGGATTAAGAAAAAGTACCCATAAAGTACTTTTCCACAGGTAAAGTACACATCCTGCAGAACCAAAAGTTACTCTCAGCCGGGACTTCCGGTGAGGACTTGAGGCATTTTCTCATCAGTTCATTTACGTAAGTCTGTGAATAGATGGAACGCCAGTTCCAACTGTGCACAGCCTAATGTGACAGAGAGAACCCAAGTCATTTCCCATCATCGTCTTCGAGGAACAACAAAAGCTCCTATCTACTGATATTGCAGGGTCAGAGCAGAGCACCTGAAGCATTGCTTCTCCTTCCCTCCTGTCAGTCAAATGAGGTGTGCAACAGCAACATCAGCACCAACACTGCACAGTTGAAGACGAGTTGCCAGGGGTTAACGAGCTTGCTCACGAGCCCGGTAAAATATGGAGCCAGGATCTTCACCTGGCCATGCCCACTTTCCAGCATGGGGTCCACACTGCCAACCCCTCTTCTGGCTGAACTTTGTGTTTCTGTTTCCATTTCTAGGGCGGCTCTTGAAATGACTGGTGTCTTCTAGAGGACACTGGCAGAAATCTACTCACAGGAGGAGTTGAAGTGTCACCTGACACAGGATCTAACTAGGTCATAGACAGGGAAGAGTCTGCTCTTGATGCAGCATACCATTGTGGGATGTCTCCTTGATATTTCCCACCAGTCTCCACAGCAGGATCACAGCTCTGCTTCTCTCTGCTCTCAGAACACCAACCTAGAACTTACAGCTCATCTCTTCCAGTTGCTTCCAGCTGCTGGCCAAGCTGGAGCGAGGGTTCAGAGTGGTGTCCACACAGACAGGCTCATCCTGGTACAAGTCATAGGAGAGGCAGTGCCCAGGATTACATGCTGAAAAACACTCGTTTTTTTTTTTTTTTTTTCTTTTTCTTTTTCATAATTATCATTTAGAACTTCGGTACATGCTTCTCCTTCTGTTTGTGATTTCCTTCATAGAGCTGGTCAGCCCTGAGCAGCCCTACATGCACTGGAGGGCTTTGTTTGCAGGTACACATGGCAACAGCCATTGGACCAGATAGGCAGTGCCTTCAACCAACAGTTGTTCACACTTGAATTTGTACATGTATCACCCAACTGCTTCCTTTTCTAATAACACGTAAGAAAATCAAGTCTCTAAACTTCTATCACCTGGCGTTACTCATGAACCACCATGATACATGTTTCTTATGTGTACCAGATACAAAAGCCTTTTCTCTTATGTGGAAACACACACACACTTTTATTTTATCTTGTTTTTTAAGGGTGTGTGTGTCTCATTACATAGACCAGACTTATCACAATCATGGGATCCTTCTGTCTCTGACTCCCAGGTGCTGGAATTACAGGCATGGATCACCACAGCTAAGTGTTCTCTTTCTTTTGGAAAATGAAAAGAAACATAGAGCTCATGTAAAAATAAAAAAATAAATTAATTAATTAAAAAAACATCATTTAATTAACAAAGCAGGTTCAGAGGCAAGAACTGGTAGTTTTTGCGGAGATTTGGAGAGGGTTAGCTAATTTCAAAAGGCAGAGACACCACACAGTAAAGAGTTCCGACCTTGCCCTTTTGGAAAGGCGATCAACTTCCACACACAGTAATAGAACAACAGACACCAGGTGCCTCTTGCTGCAATGCAGTAGGTGAAAACACAGAAAGGCAGACATACCCTTCGAGTGACAGGCTGAGGAAAGGCATGTGTGTATGACTTTGTGTGTGTAGTGGCGGGGGGGGGGGCAGTAAAATTCAAAGGGACAGACAGAGTGTGCAGCTGCCACAAAGCACCAGGTCTCCTCTACAGCTCAGTAAGTGTCGCAAACAAAAGTAGCCTGACTCATGCTTTGTCAACTTTCACCAACTTTATTTGTGGATTTTTTGGCTAAATGCATTAACATTTGTTTCTTCTCACTGAAAGTCCAAATTTTCAACAAAACTGCATGTGTAAGATTGATGGTTTCATTCCATTTGTTCTTCTCTTGGCTGGTATAGACCACTAGGTTCTCAGTGTACTGGAGGATCAATTTTAAGAACCTGTTAAAAAGACAGTAAGGAATGTTAGGTTTTTTGTCTGTTCTATTATAGAATGCAGCAGTGTTACATGTCTAGTTGTATCTTGGAATATTCCTAAAAATTGCTCAATTGTGTGTAGATTTAGAAAGAAATGTGTACAAAATGAAAATAAGAGAAACTGTTATAGAAAAGACAAAACTGCTGAGGCCAATGCTGCCAATACTGGGATGAGTTTTCTAAGACTCAAGATTCTTTTCATACTCTCAGATCTTGACATGATGATTCTAGGTGACAGAACACAATTTCAGCCTCCAGGGCCATGTAGACTGACAGACGATAACCCACACTAAGAGAAGGTCCTATCCACAAGCCCTCTGGGTACTGATGCTGCATCACTTGGCTTTCTTCTCTTTTGCTGCCATGCCTCTGTCTAGGGTATGACTAACCTCAGGGACAGTTTTATTCCTCAGGGACACAGGCAGTGTGCTGCTAGCATGTGGCCACAGAGTACAGAGAAGGTAAAGAGCAAGCCCCACTGGTACCCCAATGTCGCCAACAGCCTTGCACACATTCGCCTCAGCCCTATTCAACCATCCGTGTCCCAGTTTTATTTCTGTTGCTGTGATAAAATAACCCAACAGAAAGCAACTTAGGAGAAAGAAGGGGCTTATTTGGCATAGAGTTCCAGGTTCCAGCCCATCACTTCAGGGAAGTCAGTGGCAGGAGACTGAGATAGCTCGCCCGCCATACTACATCCAAAGTCAATAGCAGAGAGAAACAAATGCATGCACGCTGCCTGCTAGCTATGTACTCAGCTCGCCCTCTCTCTCCTCTTACACGGTCCAGGGTCAAAACCAGGGAATGGTGCTACCTACATGGGTTGGGCCCTCCTACATTAGTCAACTGTCAAGACAGTTTCTACAGACATGCCCACAGGCCAACCTGATCTAGAAAACTCCTCTAGAAAACTGAAACTTGAGACTCGAGATGCTGTCAAGCTGACAACTACAACTAACCAGTACAAGGCAGATGAGATGGTTCAGCAGGTACAGTACCCACCTGGTTACCTGCGGCTCAACCCCCGGAACTCATGTGAAGATAGAAGGAGAGACTGGACTGCACAGAGTTATCCTCTAACTTTCACAGCTCCACACCTCACAGCCTCCCTCCCCTAGAGTAATTTTAAAATTCTCTTAAAAAGTGTTTAAAAAGCTAGAAATGTGGCTGGTACATGCGTTTAATATCAGCACTCAGAGAACAGAGGCAGGCTGACCTCTGTGAATTTAAGGCCAGCCTGGTCTACAAAGTAAGTTCAAGGCCAGTCAGGGCGACCTTATCTAAAACACACACACCCACATGCACACAGACACACACACAAACACCCCTCTCACACACACATACACTGAATACACACACATACACCACACACACTGCTGCAATCCATAAGATGCTACAATATGCAAGGACTCCTACCATCTGCCAAGTACTGTATAAAGTCAGCTAAGATATGAAAAACTTGTGGGCATGGATGGAGGCTACACCACAGCAGCTACAGCCACCTGACCACAACACACTACTTGTATAGCCCTGTCCAAGGGGCTTTGTGAGCACTGGAATCGCTTCATGTGGGGTGGGGTACATAAAAGTTTATCCTACTTTCAAATTCCCTAGGTCTGGATGCGACTGGAAAGTCAAATTCCCAAGTTTAAAACTATTAATTATATACAGCTAATGTGACTGTGAGTCATTTGGATGTGGTAGGATATGCTTTATGGACCCTCCTGCAAGACCATCCCCAGTCTTAACTCAGCTTGCATATGGACACCAAACTGTAGCCTGGCAAGTTGAGAGGATTCACAAGTAAATTAGGTTCAATTTTGTGAAATGTGCCTATAAGAAAGTAGTTTCAAATGTCCACAAACTTAGTATGCAATTATACAAAGAAGACTAGCTAAGGATCAAAGAGAACCTGTGGGAGATGAAGACAGCATCACAAAAGGAATACAATTTCTTAAATCACCTGAGCACTGTGTCCTTTCTCCTGAGCAGGCGCCTTACCTCAGATACTGCTGGCGTTCCTGGATACTCTTACTATGAACAGTGTGAACACTGACCAACTCCAGTGCAAGGAGCAACAAAATCAGGAAGATCACAGGGGACAAAAGGCCAACACTGAAAAAGGATGAAAGCAGGTCAAGATTTTGACAAAGTTTCTTCCATTTTCATAAGGAAAAACAACACTTCACCTATTTTATTTTATTTTATTTTTTAAAATTCATATATTTGGATCAAGCTTTTTCCCTTTTCCAATTGCTCCAAATTCTCCCTACACAACCAAATTTATGTTTGTAAATGTGCTTGCTCTTCTTCTCTTTCTTTAGTACACACATATACATAAACACACACAAACCACAAAAAATGAAAAAAACAAAACAAAACAAAAAAAAAAACAACAGAAAGACAAAAAGGAAAAAAGCCCAAAACAAAACAAAAACCATGAAGTTTGTTTTGCCAACATCTTTTTTCCAAATATCTAGAAAGATAGTTTTCCAGTCTTTTATCTTTGCCTGCCTGCCCTGGTCCTGCCTGCCCCAACCCCTACCTCGCAAGCCTGTAGGAGTATGCAGCCCAGCCCCTTCTGGTCCTTCATGTTCAGGTCAGAGTGTTTCTACTCCCTGGCAGCAGCAACTGCTTTCAGGTTGGGTCATCCCAGGTACCTCCAATACCGTCCACCAGGTCAGCCGAGAGCCAACTGTGAGGTCTGGTGCTTGAAGCCCACCACCAGCTTCTTACGGATTGCCCAGTAAAGGACTTTCACAAGAGGAGAAAGTGTGCTTAACTCTGCCACATTCCAAGAAATTCCAACTGAAGTCTAACCTTATTATTCCCACAAGACTAGCAAAGATGCTTTAAAATACTTCGCTCCGGGGCTGGAGAGATGGCTCAGAGGTTAAGAGTACTACTGGCTGATCTTCCAGAGGTCCTGAGTTACAATTCCCAGCAACCACATGGTGGCTCACAACCATCTATAAAGAGATCTGACGCCCTCTTCTGATGTACAGGTATACATGCAGACAGAACATCGCATAAATAAATAAATAAATAAATAAATAAATAAATAAATAAATACACAAACAAATAAATTGCCTCCATTTTAGGAGGGATATGATGTAACAGCACCCTGTATAAACTACATGCGTGCACAATGAGAAACTTCTGGAAGGCGATGAACATGTACATGCTCTGACAGGACTACGAAACACCACGCCATTTAACTCAAAGTTCTAGAAATGTGTCCCACAGCTATTTCTTTCTTTTAACTTTAATTTATTCATTTTACATACTGGTTGAAGGCCCTTCCCTCCTTTCCTCTGGATCTCACCCTCCCTCCCTGTTTTCCCTATTCCCCAATTCTCTCCTCCTTGGAAGGGGAGCCACCCCTGAAACCCAGCATATCAAGCTGCATCAGGACTGAACACATCCTCTTCCCCTGTGGCCTGGCAAGGTGGCCCTGCCAGGAGAAAGTGATTGAAAAGCAGGCAACAAGGTCCATGTCAGAATCGGCTCCCATTCCCCTTACTATGGAACTCATATGAGGACTGAACTGCCCATCAGCTACATCAGTGTTGGGGGCCTAGGTCTAATCCATGCGTGGTCCTTGACTGGTGCTTCAGTCTCCATAGGATCCCTTGGGCCCTGGTTAGTTGGCTCTGTTGGTCTTCTTGTGGAGCTCCTATCCTTCTCTCCACTCTTCCATAAGACTCCATGCACTTCACCCAATGATTACAGAACTGTGTGAAGAAGCATAGTGCTGGCAAATGCAAATGAACATGCTCCAGGGATTAAATCCAGACTGTCATTTTGGGTGGTGGGATCCACTCCTACAGGCCAAATTTGAAAGTTCTAGAAAACGGTATATACTGTAACTATTCTCTGGGAGGATCAGCACCCACCCCAGCTTGGGTAAGAGCAGTGTTCAGGAGAGGAGCAGCCTACCTGCTGAGCATGCGCAGATAGTTCTGCCGCTGCCTTGAGCGCAGCCTACGCTCCACCCACTGCCTGTGTCTCAGCTGCAAAGAGGCAGTGACCTGGTCGGATGCACGCTGGCATTGGGAGCTGATGCCTCGGAGCACAACCAGAACCTCTAGAACGACTCTGGGGCAGAACAAGGTACGAATGCGTGAGCTACAGAGTCCACCGAGCAGCTGGGGCCACCTGCAAGTGACAGCACAGCAATCAGAGGACACAGCACCAGAGAACGCCGCTGCCATCTTTTCTGAATCTGAATTGTTTCGGAGTCGGCTGGGACAAATGCAATTGCAGTGAACAGAGAACACATGTGTAACTTCACTGGACATGTGGCTCTTGCACAGAAATCATCTAACCTGACCTAAAAACCCCTTTTGGGGCAAAATACCAACTACTAAAATTTAGGGTGGAAACATTAAGCCTTTTATCATAAATTACTAAGCTATGTTTCTTGAGTACTCACTTCTCTTGGGAAAGACCATCCAAGTCATTTAAAGTGCAGGCACTCCCAGGCATGTGGTTGTAGAGCTCATTCAAAATCTTGCTAATTAAAGACTTGCAGGCACATGCTTCAGAATTACCTTCCAATCTGAAAAACACACAATATTTTAAAGGTATGTTCCAATAATTAAAACTCCCACATTATTGCTAATACAAAATGATGTTTAACACACAGTAAACTTGATCTAAAATTTGGTTTCCTTAACATAAATTAAAGTAGGTACTATGGTAGGATAAAACAGATGATATGATAAGTCTAAAGCTAGGAAGATGCAAACGGAAGGTGAGCTATGCTTGCCCCAGAGCAGTCCTACTGCAAATGTGTCTGCTTCATTCTACGTTCCCCAAGTCTGTATCCCTAGTCCTCTTCTTCTTGAGTCCAGAACTTCTTCATGTCTTCTGAGCCCTTGTTGAAGGGTGCCTTATCTTCCAGGCTGTGTTCAACTGACAACAAACTTGGCACAGCAGTTCCCTTTCCAAACACTTTGTAACAGAAAGAACATGAGCACTCTTGGTTTAACTACAACTGCCAGCCATGGTACACATGACCCCAGCATCACATGCAACAATTCAGGTGCCATATACTCCAGTCCAGATGATACACACCTGTCTGCTTCCTGAAAAGGCTCTTCTGGCAAAGATAGAACAGGCCACATCCTGAGGCTTTTTTCACAGGTCAGCACCTGAGAGGGAATAGTTGACTGCTCTAATGTCTTACAGCATCCTAGAAAGAATGTTTTCAACTGTTACAGATACTTAATCACTTCTAGAAAATATTTGTAAAACTGTTACAGTCTCCACTTGGTGAGCTCAAGTATTTCACATGTTCAGTTGACTGTTCAAACTGTCCTTACTGTTGGGGTGATTATGAACATGCTCACCAATATGACACCCTCAGTTGAGAGGTAGCTGACTTCCTTTCTTCTGCACTGTGACTAGCTTTGGCAACTGTTCTGTGAGAGCACACAGCACAGATGAGGAGAGGCATGTCAACACTGCCAACAACCTGTCAGCACCTACATGAAGCCCTCGACAAATCCTTCAGCAGGTTTTGACCCACGTTAAAATGAGCAAATGAAGTGGCAGCTGTGTAGACATCACCGAACGTGAGCAATCTTCTGTAGCAGCAATAACAGAGCAATGGCCTTATAAAGCACAGGACACAGGGCTGTTGCCAAGTAGAAGATGGATAACAGACGAGGGTGCACAATAGCCAGGGGGCCACTTGGATCCATAGCAGAGGACAGCAAAGGGCTCTGCAATCAGGTCGCATGGCAGTCCACCAACCAGAAGCTTCCCTTCCTTCCAAAACCTTCCCTCCTGTCTCTTTAAAACACTGTTTCCTGTAGATAAGTTCTGATACCTTTACCTTTGTAATTCTGTCTTGGAAAGCAGACTCATGGGGGACAACATGTAAGCCCCTCCCCCAAACCAGAATCCACTGGCCACAGGCTGGAGGCTGATTTGCTGACATGCTCTTCTTATCCATGCTGCTTTAGTTATTTCCTCCTTGCTGAAGCATCCCTCCCAGACAGAGCTTCTTAAGATTCGGGAAGCTCACAGAACTGACAAGATTATAAAAGCAGAAGACAACAGCGGGGGCGCTCTTGGCTCAGCTGAGCGCAGCCTTTGTGAGTCACAGCAACGCTGGGTCGGCAACACCAGATGCAGCTGCCTGAGGCACCTAGGACCCTGCGCTCCTGAAAGCCCTGGTTTGCTAAGACAGACTCAGGTGGGCGGTTTCTTTGATCTGTTGTCAGTGTCTATCTGGGAAGAGCAGATGCTTGTTCATCTCTCCTCAGGAAAAGCCTCATAATGGATGCATTTGTCACAAGACAGCACTGGTCAAGTCTTGCTCTCCAGCATGGCTGCTTTGGGCCCTTCCCTTCTTGTATATACCAATTTATAGCAGCCCGGTGATGATGTGCTTGCTTGCCAATGTCCATGCAAGAGCTATCTTGAGTGTGACATTCATGGGGATTGTTCTTATCCTGACTCCCTCAATATGTAGAATAAAATGAGGCTAGGGAGATGGCACAGTGGTTAACATCATGTACTACTCTTTCAGAGGACCTGAGTTCAATTCCCAGAACCTGTTGTGTGGGTCACAACTGCCTCTAACTCTAGCTCTAGGAGATTAGAAGCCTCCTCTAGCCTCAAAGGACACTTGCACTCAGGTACATACATAAAATCTTTAAAAAAAAAAAAAAAAAAAAAGCATAAATCATTTGAGATAATCCTCAAATTGGAACTACATGGTGGAATGTTTGTTTACAAATTATAAGTTGACAAAAACTTATATGGTAGAAGAAAAAAATAACATTCCTCAGTTGATAAAACTTGCTTCTCTCCCTGGGCAGTAACCAGTAACAGCAGCCAGCTAGGCTCCGTGCTAAATCCTCCACCTGTCATCCCTGAGACTAAAAACACCTTTCACTCTGAGACTAGAACCTGACCTGCAAGCTCAAAATGACCTGCAAGCTCAAAAGACAGCCACTTGACCAAGGCCATGCAGCAAGTGGCTATCTGGTCAGGAAATCTAAAAGGACAAAGCCTTAGGACCCTTCTGATGCTTCTGAAGGCAGAGCAGTGCCACTTGTGTCCCCTCTCCCAAACACCCTGCATGTGGCATACCTGCTTTTGAAGCTGGAAGGCTGGGTGGCAGCGGGACGTGTAGCCTTCTGCAAGACTAACCCGCAAGTGTATTGCTGCTTCCTCCTGGGTTAGAAACACTGATGTCAGTCATTATGGGTCCACACTGGACTTTGTGTCTTCTTCTGAATCATGTCATTTAGAGTCTTAACCTGCCACTATCTTCCTCAAAATAACCCTATTCATCTACAGCATGGCAAAGCTCTTCATTAAAGCAGGATGGACCTGGTAGTCAAGCATAACCAACGAACTGATAAAATGGAGCTGACTAACCACCGTAATTTAGAAAGATCCCATGTACCCTGTCTATAGCAAAACGACAAATATATAAGGAGGAAAAGATCCCAAAATGAATGGAAGACTTTTGAAGATTGAAAATGAACACTGAGAAGAGAATTACATGACCATAAACGTTAACTGCGAGACATAGAAATATTAAAGAAGCAAAGATAACATATTAAAGTATAGTCTAACTGATATAAATATGTAACTGATGGAAATGGGTCACTGCTATAAATGTGTAACTGAAAAGCCCAAATCAACCACTGGAAACTACAAAAGTGAAAACTCAGGGAGCCAAAGGCTGGCACAAGTCAGAAGCAGAAACTGCCACATTCTCAATGGCCCAGAGCAAATGACTGAAATAACAACAGATCAAAGTGCTGGGGACATGTGCCAACCCCTCATTCGCTGACAACGGGGGGGGGGGGGGGGGGGGCCCCCCCCCCGCGGGGGGGGGGGGGGGGGGGGGGGGGGGGGCTGAGTCACAGCCATGTTGTGGGCAGCATCCTTGTGGCTGCAGTGTACACAGTCTGGGGCTGAGTGCTGGGATAGGCACCAGCAGGAGTACCCACTTCTGCTCTAAGATGAAGTCACAGGTGGCCTCTGCAGAGAGCGGCATAATGGTTGACATGGATCTGGCTTCTATGTTGAGGAAAGGGAAGAAGGAGGGCTGACAGAGCAGGTGTCTCTCCAGGAAGTGATGTTGATTTGGCCAAGTAATGGAATAACGTTGAGTAACAGGTCCAAGGCATATTTTAAGATAGAAAACTGAGTATAGAATGTGAAAACAGGAAGGGAGGCTTGTGAGCCTCGGAAGCCACTTTGGGGACGTGCTACTTACATTCACCATAGTCCTGAAGTCAGGTCACACTTGCTATTGATAATTTCTTTTCTCTGTGAGACAGGGTCTTATATATCTCAAGCTAGTCTCCAACTCTATGTGGCTGAGGAAGACCTCCAGATTATTTCTGTCTTTACCTGCTTAGTGAGGACTGGGGTTACGGTATGTGCCACAATACCTGGTGCATGCAGTGCTGGAGATCATGCGTGCTAGGTGAACACTCTAACAACTGAGATATATCCTCAGTTTCTAGTAGTGGTCAATATAGTAAAAGATGGCAGTTTCCCTGTATGCTTGTACTAGGCTATTCTTTTTCAGTTTGGTTTCTGGGCCTGGGTTTACTTTAATGAAATAGCTAACATAGAATATAAACAGTGAGAACAGACAAGACAATTCGGAAGAGATAGGAATGGGAGTTGTCTTTAATATCCAGAAAGCTCTAAACTGAAGAGTCAGCAGAGAACAGAGTTTCTAGTTGGACAGTCCAGGGCTGGAGCCTGGTGGACACTGAATTAGTCAATTCTTCACATGGCATTTAGACAAACTGCTAGCAATTTCAAAAAGAAAACTCATAAAGGTGGATTCTCTACCTCACTTCCAAGAGGGACTAAATTCTACTTGGAGTAAAAGATAAAAAACACTAAGAAAATTATGGATATGTTTATAATTTTTGGAATGCAAAGAATCTTTCAAGAATGACAACAAAGGCAGAAGCCAAAGGAAAAAAGAATCCAGAGTTAAAGACAAATAACAGGTGGTACCTCACTGAAAGCAACAGCAAGGCTAATGCACACCTGTGAGCAAGATGACAAAGGAATGACAGCCACCAGTGGGAAAAACAAACACTGTCCTTACTGCTATATTAGCTACAGGGCTTTACCTTTGCAGACTTACTAACGCTGGTACCCAGATGAACACAGCCCTTCGGTTCACCATTGCAATCCCAGCGTCTCATCAGTCAAAGGTACAGCACATAATCAGTGGAGACCACTTCGATAAATGATGGACTGCTGGCGCAAGGGAATGACCAACAACGAACAAAAAGAGCAGGCACATCAAAGATCCCAAAATATGTGAAATGAAAAACAGTGCTGAGAAGACAAAGCATTTCTCCCTATGAGCCCATCTGCGGATACCCATGGAAAGAAGCAAGGTCATCCAACTGTTAGGAGCTTTCATTTCTGGAAAAGGGGATTCCTGATGGCCTTTACATCCTATAATAATTTTTCAGTTTTGCTTGGACTTTTAAATAGTTTAAAAAATAACTGTCATGCATATAAGCTGAAAACAGAAGTACCACCTACAATATTATAACTGAAATTATTTATTTTAAAATAATAGAATCATTTGCTTCAGAAATGCAAGTATCCTGTTTCATCAATTTAAAAGACATTTCTGTGAGTTTTCTACATTTAGCTAATGTTTTATAACATGTTCTTTGATTTTTAACAACAACACTGCTATAAAGAACAAAGGCCAATATGCATTTAGAACACAAAGTATTTCAGATTCAGATTCACAACACTGATTTTGAGAGAATGCATACATGTATATTGTTAATTTACAGTTATTCTGATATAGTACTGTAACTCAAATTAAAATGAAAGATGATAAATAGGTAATCACATTTGAGAACTAAGACATATTCTTTCACTGCTGATGGTAGCTGCTAGCCACCTCCCTCCCTCTGTAGTACCTTCAGCTCTGACAGTGTGTCTTCCTCAGTGAATCTGAGCAAAAGTACCAGGGAGAATGTAAGTAGCTGGCTTGCTGCTTCTTCTGGAAATTCACATAAGTTGATTTCCCCATGGCTTAACCGATCCCGGATACGAGGACCCTCCTGATAGTTCAGGAAATCCCACAAGAATTCCTTTCAGAATTGACAGAGATATGTTCTGTTAGTGTTGCAGGCAGAGGGAAGAGCAAAAGGCAGGGTTTCCAGGCAGCTCCTGGCTTGTTTACAGGCTGATGGGAAATGGAGTTTCAAAGAGGGCATTCAGTCTGTCCTGCAGCTGGAACTGTAGTGGGGAGCCCATGCTGTGTACAGCCTGCCTGTGGGGGCTGAGCACCAACTACTGAGGCTTGAAGGAGGTCCTGCTAGGTCACGCCTATCTTTGTTATTCTTACCTTCCTACATGGAAGGGAAACAAATTTGCCTAAAGAAACATAAATCACTGCTCCTGCTTGAATGAGTATAATCAAGCAGGTGTCCCTTGGCCTATCCCTTCCCCTGCATTCACCATGGACAACTCCTGCATCTTAAGCCAACAAAGATAGCTGCTCTCTCCTCTAATAGTACCTGCCCAAGGCCTCTGCTAGACTAGAGGGGAAGCATCAGAAAGCACTGATGTGGGTACACTGCCAACTGAGGAAGAGTCCGGGGTATCCAAAACAAAACAGAACAAAACAGTATCAGACAAGTTAGTCACCTCAATGTCTGCGGGCAGGAAAGGATGACGAAATCACCTAAGGAATGGGAAATAGAATCCAGCTCTTCTCTCAGTGAGGCGGAATAGACAAATAGTGCCTACTATAGTCTAGAGAAGTCACTGTAGTTTTCTTATTGAAAAACTGGTCAAAACATTAATTCTGTTTCATCGAACACTTAGAGACATCTGACTGTTGCTATTTACAAATACATAGTTCTTCCTTTAGTAAAAATACAGAGAAACAATAAGCAAGAAGTGTTAGAAAGAGGGCAGCCAAGTCACCAGGCACTTGAAAGGCATGGGAGTAACCAGAATATGCAAAGCACAATGCCCAATGTCATTCCTGATGGTGTCTGTGACAGGCCAAGGTGACAGCCCAGAAGCAGGTCAGCTCCTGAGCACACCACAAATAATTTTACTCTACTTTAGATGCTAGCATGTTCCTAAGCAGAATGACATGAGACTGGAGACACAGAATACTTTACCATGGTAGGCTCTCCAAGGAAATGAGGAAGCTGGTTGATGCTACCATCATTCAAGTATTTTGCTAGTATCTAAAACACCAAAAATAGATTAATCAGTAAGCTGATACACATATAGATTCTACAGAGTCATGCACCTACACATACACAGACATTGATCTGTATATATACAATTAGAATATTTGTATTTTTAAAGTTGTTATTGATTAAAAATAGTTGTTTCAACAGTGGTTATAACCAATGGTGTTTGCATTTCCCAACTTTGTGTTTTGTACAACAAAGATAAGATTAATAATATTGGACCTCAAAATTAACCTGAAAGCTTTATTTATATTTATTTATTTAAAACAGAGTTTCAAGAATTATAGGCTGGCCTCAAATCCAGCCTCTTTTTCACAAGTATTGGGACTAGGTATGTGCCATCTTGCTGGGTATATATATTCAGTGCTGCAAACTGAACCCAAGGCTTCATGAATGCCAAGCATTCAGTTAGCTAAAGCACAGCCTCAGAGGTCTACTGAAATCTAGTATAAGCTTCTTCTTGCCTTTTACTATCAACATTTTCCTGTAAGCATGCTATTTATACTTAATCTTTGTGGGTTTTATTAGTGGTGTCATTTTCAATTTACTTATTCTGTGTGCATGAGTATTTTTGTCTGCATGTTTGTATGTGCACCATACGCATGCGTACGCATCGTTGTGAGCCACCACATGGGTGCTTAGAACCAAACCCAGGTCCTTTGCAAGAGCAGCAAGTGCCCCTAACTTCTGAGCTACCTCTCCAGCCCTAGTCATTGTTTTTTAATTTGTATCTTAAAAGAAGATAATGGGGCTGGAGAGATGATGGCTCAGAGGTTAAGAACACTGACTCTTCTTCCAAAGGTCCTGAGTTTAATTCCCAGCCAGCACATGGTAGCTCATAGGCATCTATAGTGAGATCTGGTGCCCTCTTCTGGTGGCGGGCAGAATGCTATATAAATAATAAATATATCTTAAAAAAAAAAAAACAAAACAAAGATGATGATGGTTTTCAAGATTTTTTTGCAAGTTTGACTACTTACTTCATCAAATGTGGTGTATAGAATTGTTGACTGAAGAAAAGGAAAAAGATAAAAAAGAAGAATTAAAACAAAACAGTAATATCATTCAAAGTAGAAAACAATTCTGGCCCTCCACAGGTGCTATGACTTTCATGTCATCATGATGTTTAAATTTGGAAAAAGATTTATCTTACATAATCACAGTTAAAATAAATATGTGCTTTAACAACAAATAAAATATGGTACGTGTGAGCGTGTATGTGTGTGTTGTAGGAGACTAAATGTGGGGTGTGGAGCCACTTAGCTACATCTCTAGCCCTTAAAACCTTTTTTTTTTTTTTTTTTGGTTTGTCATTTTTTGAGACAGCGTTTTTTCTGTGTAGCCTTGGCTATCCTGGACGTGCTCAGGCTGGCCTTGAACTCAAAGAGATCCACCTGCCTCTGCCTCCCTGAGTGCTGGGATTGCAGGCATGTGCCACCACACCCAGTTTATTATTATTTTTAATGTGTGTACGTTGTACATGCATGCATATATGTGGACCACATGCCCCAGTCTCCTGAAACTGGAGTTACAGATAGTTGTGAGCTACATGTGGATGTTGGTAATAAAACATGGGTTCTCTGGAAGAACAGCAAGTGTTCTTAACCACCGAGCCATCTCTCCAGCCCTCTTAAAGCCTTTAAATAGCCACAGAAAATTGTCAATAGAGTGGCCATAGCCACAGTGAGTAACAAAAATATACGTACCTCAGCCGTGAGCAGTCTATCAGGACATTTGTTAACTGCAGCAAAAACTCTCCTGAGCCCAGCTTCTAGCTGTGACAGCAACAGCATGGTGCAGTCGGCAAACCTGTGGGACCCAAGGACACCAGGAGGTGTTGCAGTAACTGCACTCCAGACTTGACAAAACTACTGTGGCCCTGAGGGCGAAAATATATAACCTGCTCCCGTGAGAAACAAAACAATAGAACCCGATTCTAAATGGACTATTGACTTTAAAACATTTGTGTGTGTGTGTATGTGTTTTCATGCTTGGTGAAACATGTAGTAGTTTCATTTGAACAAAATGTCATCAAAGAACCATATATGTCACATTTTCCTTCTAAGGCCAGCCAGAACAGCAAAGCTGCAGGGGACCAATTCACATAAAAAGTGAACCCAGGAATGAGTCTACCTGAGGATAAATAATGACCAGCTCATAGGTTTTCCAATCTCTACCTGTCTGGACACACGCTGTGCCTGGCTTTCACACATGGTTTGTCTTTGAGGGAATATCATAGCCAGGTTTTCCTGTATTTTTTTTTCATGGTTCTACAATGCTAGGTTCAATGTTTTACTTATAGTAAGAACTCAGTAAAATACTAAGAAGTTTATTCTAAAAAACAAAAAGTTCTATCAACTGCACGAAGAGGATGACACAGAACATTTGAAGCAGCCACAGCTTGTCTACTCTCGGCCCACTCTAAGTCAGTTTCTACTCGCTTGCCAGGACAGTAAACAACCTTCAGATGTTGAAGGGCATCGAGCAGGTCTGGCATCTAAGCACCAAAAGTTCCATGCCACCCTTGTTACCTGTGCAATTTGAATTTGGTCACTGCCATTTCCCAATATGGTAACATGATTTTTAATAAAAAGGTGGATTTCATCATCACTGTCTCTAATGCTGAGAGCACCTCAGAAGTAACACCTGTAAAAGAGCAAGTATCTTTATAACTCAACCATAGCAGCCAACCAAAAGAAGTCAGGAACATATGTGGACATATGTGCCAATGAGCCAACACCCTGAGACAGATGAACTGTGACCTGGAGCAGAACATCACTAAATAGGAAAAGCACTTAGCCTATAGCTACAGTGGAATGGCCTCAGGAAGCTTGCCAAGGGATAAATGGGCAACTGAATCTCTTCAGGAACCTGTGCAGCAAATGAGAGTAGGGCTCAGGGTACCCTAGTTGAGTACACTGACTAAGAGGAGTAACAAGTAGGCTCAGAAGATATAGGCAACCCTTTTTACTGTTGGCAAGGCTGATATAATAGCCACAAGCACAGATGCAGACAAGGTGAGGTAAGAGAAAAGCAAATACCATGAATGGCCCCAAGGTGTTCTGAATGGCAGCACAACTGAGGAAGAGACCTTCTCTAGCTCTGACTCTCAGGGTCCCCAATGACCCCAGAGTAGTGGGAAAGAGTGAAGTTTAAAAGGTCCTTCCAATAACTCACAAAGCCATCTTGAAGATCGTAAGTAAGTACTTCAGCAAGCATTCAAGTCAGATGCTACTAAAATCTGTGCAACAAAGACATAGTAAGAGCATAGTGTGAAACACAGAACTTGCCAGGAAAAAGAGTCACATCCTCCAAGTTTGTGAGAGCCACAAAAGGCCGATGTGCCAGTGTGACGTTTGCTTGATGAAGGTAACTCTTCAGTAACTGGCCCAGTCCTGCTGTCAACAACAACATGGCTGAACAGTATCTAAGGAAGACCATACACAGAAAGAACTTTGCTTAGAGAAAGTGTTAAAACTATACAAGGAGGAGGGCTCAGGTGGATCAGTAGGTAAAGACACCTGCAGTCAAACTGAATGGCCTGAGTTCAATCCCTAGGTCTGCATTTGGAGACAGAGAACACAACTGTCCTTTGACTTCCACACAAATGCTGTGGCATATGTGTGCATGAATAAAATGTTAAAAAAAGAAGATAATAAGAAATAAAAAAAAAAAGAAGTTAAAGAAACCACCAAATTTCAGAACTTTGCATAGATGCAATTAAGCTGTGCAATAACTAGGAAGTCCACTGTTATATCAAAACACCTGGGCTTTCTACCTGTCCAGGCTCTTGGGGTACACGGCATTGAAATACATACCATCACTATACTATACTAGTTTCTCTGATGTTGATGTGCAATGTGACCACCCATGTCTCAAATTCTCTCATCTTTCTCTTATAATTCCTCTTCATGTGAACTTCAAGATACAACAAATTCTTAAGCAGATTAAGGAGGAAAGTTACTTAAACAGGAACTTACTTTGGAGGGATGTCTTGAGGGGAAGCAAAGCCATGCCACAAGACATTTCTCAGGTTGAGTCCTTGGGGAGATCCCATGAAGACTTTCAGTACGTCCATCTAATCCATTAAGAGAGTAGATTACTAAATCGTGGAGTAAATCAATTCAATCCTAAAATGTTTGCTTTTTCCATTAGAACTAAGCACTGTATAAGTAGTAACAATAATAAAACATTAAAATTTTACTACATTTTTATTTAGTGTGCCAATGAGCAGGTGTCAGAGGACAACCTGAGGGAGTTGATTCTTTGCTTCCACCATGTGGGTGCTAGGGTCTGAACTATATTCATCAGCCTTGGTGGCAGGCACCTTTCCTCAATAAGCCATTTCACTGGCCCAAAACCAACATTGACTGAGTATTTAACACATGCTAGAGACAGTTTTGAATGACTCATCCATTCCTTTATCCCCAGAACCATCTCTGAGCAAGGCACTACTATTTCCCACTGTGCATATAAAAGTAACACAAGTGAAGAAGATGAAGCCAGGGTTTCAGAGACTAGGAACACCAAGGGCTGGGAGCTATGCACTCAGAATGCACAGCTTTAACACCTATCCATCAGAGGTGCCCAGGATCTGGACACAACAAAATGAGATACAAACTCCACACCAGGCAGCGTGGCTGGGAACAGCAGCCACAGCTAGGTGGTATCCAGCTCCAGTGCTTCCCCCTTCCTGGACAGACTCATGAGAGAGAGTGGGGATCAGTCAGCCCTCAGAAAAGAAAAGAAATGAAAGCAGTCTTGGTTTATGTTGGGCTGTTGCAGAGCAGGGCAGAGAGGTGCTTGCTGAGCCTCTCAAGCATAAACAGCAGGTGGGAAGCTCAGAGGGGTTTAACCCAACATCTGTGTTCAACAGCCCTATCTCTGAAGCAACCTCTGAAGTCTCTGTTTCCCTCTCCCATTTTATATACCAAATACCATCTGTCAATGGCTAAGAAAAAATCATCTAAAGGCTAAAAGAGGCCATTTGGAGGAAAATGGCTAATGGCAGGCAGGCAGAAACAGCATGTGTTTAATGACTCAGTATAACAACAAGAGGCCACACTCCAGCCTTATCCTAGGCTCTCCACCAGAAAATCATTTTTAAGCTGGCAAGGAAGTAAGCAGTGAGAGGTTCACTGAAGATGGTTTCTCAGCCCTAAATGTGAATTTGATGGACTTCTGGCCCAGCTAGGATGGCTGTTCTGGTATTATGCCTCACTGAGCTGCCTACCCTTTAAAGCTGTCACTCTTTAGTTTGAAGTCTCTTGACTACAGTTCCTCTAGAATTCTGATCTAAAGGCGTCTATAATTTCTTACTAAATTCTATTTTTTTTTCTACTGTAACTCGGAATGGCTGCAAAAAAATTAAATTCCTCCCTGTTAAAGAAGCAGGACAACAATGTAATTCTGCCATTGCAAAGTGTTGAATGTATTTTAGAGCGACTTAGGAGTATCATTAAGAATACTTAACTGAACAAAGTGATACGCTTCTATCTGTCTCTCTGGCTGGACCTATGTGTTTATGCTATCACCATCAAATTTGGGAATATGTGGAAGAGCGACAATTCCGGAAGGAGGAGAGAATACACTTAAGTTAGTGAAACAGTTAATGTTTTCCAAGAGTACTACAGTTTTGGAAGATCAAAAGTACAGCTTATACCAGCACTCTATGCTTTATGTATTATTTGCACACTCACCACGGCATGTCCAAAGACTTGTGCAAGCTCTGCAGATGCAATAAGATCTCTTAGAAGAAAGGGGCACTCTCTCCCAATCAGTAAAAATACCTAAAATTCCAATAGGAATCATATAATAACTATGATGAGGCAGTAATAGTTTTTAAACAGATAATATATAAAGCATTGTACAAATGAACAAAGAAAAGTGCTTAGACACAGATTTCCTTTTCTGTACATATGTGTGTTTGCGTGCGTGAGGATGTGTGTGTGTGTTCTTGTATGTAATGGCTGCACATACTTAAAGGCGAGAGGAGAACCTTCAGTGTCTTGTTCTATCACTCTTCACCTTATTTCCTTGAGGTAGGGTCTTTTACTGAAACTGGAGCTAGAATGGAGGTCAGAAAGTCCCAGTAATGCTCCTGTCCCATCCCCCCAGCCCCAGTGTGGTGTTGCAGGAGGTGCAGAAGCAACCATACATAACTTTTCATTTTTTAAACCTGGGTGCTATAATCTAAATTCAGGTACTGATGTTTATGCAGCAAGTACTTTTCTGTACTGAGCCACCTCTCAGCTCAAAGGTACTAGGATTTTTAATCATGGAAAAAGAAAATCATTGTGTTGTACAGGAAAACAATAATAAAAACCAAGAAATCTGAAGTTTTTGTGTTAATCCAGGTAATCTAGCGAACAATGAGGATTCTCACACTCACATCACCTAAGGCTCGTTCCAGACAGGAAGCCAGTTTCATCACACTGAGGGAGATGGCAGCAGACTGCAAGCTTTCCAAGGCATCAAATATTTCAAGAAACAACTATTCAGAGAAAGACACACATTTGAGCTCAGACTCAATGAAAACATTTCTTAGAACAATAATTTTTACTGAATTACTATTATTGATTTCAAGCCTCTTAAAATTTCTACTACCTTCAAATTTTTGATAAAAAACATAGTTTCTACTGAAATACTATAAAAAAGTAAATTATTTAATACTTAAGGGTTTTTTTTTAAATGCTTGTTCAAAGCACAAATTTGGCATGAACTGAAACCAAATATTTTGACCTACTTACTTCCCATAATGATTTAGTTTAGCTCTTCTATAAGGCAGCTCACCTCACCAGACTCTGTCTTAGGAATCAGACAAGTTACAGGTACCATTTTATTATAGCCCTTTACTATGTCAAATAAAACATAGGAAAAGGGGGAAAAAAAAGGCAAACCATTCAAGATTCGCACTAGGATCCATATTACTATCTCCTTTTCAAGTCACTGGTAGGAAACTTACTCTCCGATTTCCAAGCCTTGTCATCTCCCTGGGAAGTCCATCCTATTATGACAAAGTGGACTGCATCTTCTAATGCCTACTTGAGCCCAAAAGTTGTTAAAACTGGTCTTCATACATAAACTACTTAGACCTCTCTTGCAATCCCCAGGACCTCTTCAAAGTTGAAAGGTATAATAAGCCTAGTAACAAAATGCCTTTTAGACATGTATAACTAGCTTAGTCAGGGTACACACTATACCCAAGGCTGTACCTGATAACCAGAACTTGGTGACCTCACTCTCTCAAGATAGCCAGGCACAGTCCTAGAGCCCTATGATACCCACTAGATGGTACATAATCAGAGAGCAAAAGCAACGCTCTGCTCTGCACATGTGGAGATACCACCTTGATCTGACCTGCGGCTGCAGAGTCTCCCCAAGAAGGCAGATTCTCAAATCAGAGACTTCTGCTATAGACTAGACCTGATCTAAATTTAGCTAAGATACGTGGCATGGGTGAACAACCTTGGGAAGATGGGAATTAGAGTGTGAACCATTGTGATGACCCTCAGCACAATAAAACATAACTTTTGTTATACTAACTACGTGTATGTACCTTCTTGTTCAAGACAGTAGGCTAAAGATGGAAAAGACACCCTTAACCTGGCAAGAAATGAGGATTACCAATTTGCAAAGTCTTTCATCTTTAAAGATATGTAAATGTCAAACCTCCAGATTAGTTGTCCACTGGAACCATGGTGAATACTGAATTTCAAACTGTACCCTGGTCAGAGATAAGATATGTAGATGGATAGCCTCACACACAGGACCCAACCGCTGTACACTAGTTCTGTAGTCCAGGCTCTGCCCTTATAGGAGGAGAAAGTTTGTTTTAGCTCCACAGTTTTATATCATAGGATGAAAAACATCGAAATCAAAGAAAAGCTTTATGAAATGTTCACAAAAACCAAGCAGCTTATAAATAGACACACGATAAAGTGTTCTTGCAGCTCAGTAGAAATGAATTGTAAAAGGTTTTTACTGCTGGCAGGGAATGTGTAGCTGTAGTTTTAGTTACTTGTAATCAAGTACAAAAACACGGAATTCCAGAAATAACTCATATTGTCAGTTAGGTGCTGTCCTGAGTACCATGAGAGGCACAACCCCATTCTGTCTTGTCCTTTATCCATGCCATTTACACACACCCTAGTATGTCACAGACCCAACCTGCCTCCTGGCCCTCCTACTCTTACACAGTTTTCTTAACTAAGCATCTCTTGACTTTTGGGTATTTCTCCAACTGATCTTTTTCTCCTGAGTTACGACTGCTTTATAAAACCCTTCAAGAGAAAGAACCAAAGAGGGTTTTGCAGGCCAACACATTTTCAACGTAACAGTACTAACTTAAGCTTGTTGTACAAAAAGACTACAAACCTGACTCTGCATAGCTCACACAGTCCGTAATTGCTTTCCAGCATACTTCACCATTTTGAGTTACAATGCTATTGATATCACAAATTTCTCTGAGTTCAAACCCAACGTTACAAATCATGTCATGCACCAAAGGAGAAAGGCATGTGGTAATGGGATCCCCTGTTAAAATCTGAAATATAAAACATAAAGGTTACATCCAGGTCAAAAGAAAATAGAATCTTAAGAACAGACTGAACTAGGAAGGTATGGCAAGTGGATAACATAAGAGCTCTATGTGTAAAACATGCTTAGACACTAATGATATCTCAGTGTCTGTCCTAATGTTCATGTTGCAAAACTTGAATCGTCTCATTGGTCACACTTGCTGACACTGGAGTTCAGAGGCTCGGTGGGTTTACTGAACAATGCATCATTCCTTTTGTCACGCCTTTATTATACCGCAATTATCCTAAACAGCGATGCTTTACAGGAAGCGTGAGAACAGAAAATCGAGCATCACTGACTTTGGTATGAAACACAACTTCCAGCCCGTAAGCACTAAGTAAGTGTGGAATGATGGATTCCCGCCCTGGGGTGACTTAACCCCTTTCGGTTTCCACAACACCCTCCCTCCCCGCTCAAACAGTGTTCCGTAAATTGACTTTCCCTGTGGCCTCTAAGTCCACGCACGCTGGCGCCTGACAACATCTCTGCGGGCCTGCCCCGGCGCGTTCCCGCCACGCTCCGCAGGCGGCGACTGCCCTACCTCCATCCTTTCCGGCGCGAGCCGCGGCGCTCGCTGATGACTCACGTGCGTCGCTTCCTGTTTCCGGGACGCGGCTGCGAGCGCCGCGAGCGCGAGAGCGGAGCTCGCTGTGGCTTTGCAGCCGGAGGCGTTGGGCGACTGGGCGGCGGGCGGCGCTGGTAGGCGCGGCAGGGGAAACGGGTCGGGATGGAGCGACGAGGCCGACAACCGAAGACCACCTCCAGCGCAGCGCCGCATCAGTCCCCGGCTAAGAGGGATAGGAGGCTTAGCATGTTCGAGAAGGAGTCAGTGAGTGGAGACCGCGAGGCCTGAGGCAGCTTGCCCTCCCCTTACCAAGGCTCTGTGCGCTGTCAGTGCCGGGAGCCCAGGAAAAGCCAGCTGCCCCTTCCTCCCGCTTTTGTTTCTGTTTTTAACCCCGGGGGAACCGAGTTTAGGCGGAACAACGTCGTTTAGATGTTGAAGGCTCAGGATTTTTCGTTGTGAAATCCGAAGAGCTGTACGTTAACTACTAGAAAGTTTTTACAGGTCGTCCTCAATTGTTTTCAGAGTTGCAAATGTCCAGAGTTGTCCAAAATATAATTTGAACGGTTGTATTACGCCCTATAAAAGCAATTTTAGTATACACAAAGTTTACCAACCCCAAGTGAGTTTATACCATATAGATGGACATTAATATACACACCCACATATATACATGGAAAAAAGCTGACATGCAAAGATCAATGAAGTGCTTTTAAAGAATGTTAGTTCTGTTGTTTTTAAGGATAAGGAAAAAATGAAAATATTCTAGTTATTTCTCTGATATCAATGGGAAAAATCATCATTTCAGTAGAACACTGGCATATCTATATGGTTGTCCTTTGGAAACCATTAATCAGGACCCCATCATCTTTTGAGGCAATAAGGGAAAACAGTTTGCTCAAGGATGCAAAACTAATAATGCTGAGCTTAAAACCCAGAACACCTGGTGGCTTCTTTCCATACCACTTCATACGGCTCATGAATGATTGGTAGAAGGAAGCTAGATACAACAGAAGGCGGCACAAATTTTTGGAAACTGAATTACTTCAGGATCACCTGCAGTGCTGACATTTCAGGTTTTAATGTCTCTTTAGTGACAGTGTTTTACAGAAAAAAGAACAAACAGGAAAAAAGCAGGTATGCACCGTTTAAACACCTAGGAAAAACCCAGAACAATGAGCTATGCCTATTTCCCAAACATTGCACTATATTAAAGCTTGGGTTACCAACAGTAAATGAAGCTTTCTATACTTTGAGACAGACAAGAGTGGCTTCCATGAGTCTACTGCCTATCTTGAAAGTTAAGCGAGCCCAGATTCAACATGAAGATACATTTTTAGTAAAATCTAGAAGCAAGGATGCACGGGCTAAGTCGTCTTATTTGAAACATATTTAGTGTTCTTAAAATCTTAGTCTTCTGAAGGCGAAGACTTTGAATAGGTCAGTAATTTAAAAATTAAAGCCGAAACCCCTCGTGTTTGCTAACCCTAACACTGAATGTTATTTTCACCGTTCAAAGTGTTCAGTGGTTTCTCTGTTTTTGAGAATTTGAAAAACTCGGGACACACTTGAATCAATGTGAGCACTACTGTACTTGAACTGTCCTGTGTCCATTTATAAAAAGTTATTTTTGTTTTATGCATATGTGAGTGTGCCTGGGTGTATGTATAGGCCTCATGTGAGGACAGTGACTGCATTAGTTGGGAGCCACCTTGTGGTTGCCGGGAGCCACAGGGTCTTCTGCAAGAGCAGGAAGTGCTCTTAACTGCCGAGTTCCCTGTCCATATCTTTTTTCTAGTGGTAACTCATTTCTGACTGGGTAGGATTTTAGTGGTTTAGGTATCTACTTAAACTTTATACGAGGATGAAACCAAATAAGATTAATTTACTGAACTTAAAAAAAGAGGGTTAAGATGATGGCAGATGCAAACTGGAGAGACCTTCACTTCATGTGTCTTTGTCAGTTTAGTTACTTAGCTTTTTCTTCCTGTCTGTAAATTACTCCATCTTTCCAATCAGTTACATTTTTGCTTAGTAGGAGTTAGGTCATTGTAACCAGAGGTTACAAAATCTTAAAAAGATTACTAAAAAATTAGCAATTAGAGATATGTCAATCTCACTCAAGCATTTGAAAACCATAAACATTAGCAAATAGTATTTTCGTTCAATAATTGAATATCTCATTGGAAAAATGATGTAACTAATTTCAGTTTCTAGGTTTGTAAATAGGCTCCATGTACCTATCAGCAGCTTGCTTTGATAACAAATTTGATGTTATTTTAAATTATAAGGGTCTCATATCAACTGAAAGAATAAAATAATTTTAATAAGAGTATAATAAATCATGTGTCCAGTATTATAAATGAAGAAATACCAGAAGTGCAATTTTTAAAGTAGTCGGTTCACTAAGGGTTAATTTGAGGCTCCACATGATCTATTCCCAGAAGAATCATGCAATCTTGAAAACACAGTAGTTAGTTGTATCCCTTGAGTATATTGAAGTGCAAGAGAAGTCCCTTCTTAAGAGAGAGGGTAAATTATCCTTCCATAAATAAAAGCAGTGTCAGATAATGTGATTGGAATTAAGAGATTCAACATCACAGAAAGACTAGTAAACTTAGAGGCATGAGGGGAAAGTTCTCCGTATTCTATGTCAGGGAAGTACCTTAATCTTGTTATTTGAATCCCTAAAGAAAAACTGGAAGGGTAACAAATACTGTTCTAAATAATAGATGAAAAGTCACAAATATGAAAACTAAACCTTTAAACCAAAGAATCTCAGGGAATTCCAGGCATAAGAAACAAGGAATCTTGACGAGGCCTACTTGAAACCAGTGATATGAACATTTTTAAGGAAACTAAATGGGAAAATAGCAGGCTTCTCAGAAACAGTCTGTATCAGGAAACACTGAAGCATCATCATCTTTACTGAAAGAAAGCTAGATCTAGAATACTATACCTAGGTAAAATAAATGCAAACTATACCTAGAATATTTCACACAGCTAAAATAAAGCTAGACCTAGAATACCACAGTCAGCTAAAATATATTTCAAAACCAGAATTCCAAGCTCTTGATGTAAGGAAGTTGAAGTCCCTACATCTTAAATAACAAGTAAAAACTGGCAAACCAAAAGTCAGGTCTTAGAAAACTGATTCTTGGACAGATTACTACCATAAAAGTTTGTGACAGTTGGTACAGAGACTTAACATACCAAAGTTCAAACTCTTAAGTGATTAGGTTCTGAAAATCTGAATTGTAGCTGACAAATTACTAAACTCACCCCTCCTTGTGTGTGTGTTTATGTGGTATATGTGTATAATTCATAAATATACACACATATATAATTTTAAAATTCTAGAGAGGCTTCGTCATTGAGCAGTTTTGCTTTTAGCAAGAGATGGTAGTGATGTGTGTGTGTGTTTATGTAAATGTGCATGTATTTATGTTCTTCACAAAATATGCCCTCTTGAGAAATTACTAAACTACGCCTAACCTATTGAGATTTGCAAAATGTAGGTGACTTATTGAAAGGGAACCAACTCCAGCTCTTTCCAGATTTTCTGTTCTTAAGGAAAAGAAGGCAGCAGGGTGTAGTCAGAATACTTGAGAAACATTTGTGAAATTCACAGCTCAGAGGCCCAGGCTCTTTAAAGACATAAGACCTAACCACAGGATTTGGACTACATTGTTTTTTTTTTTCCCCTGCATTACAACCACATGACTAGCCTTTTACAGAAGTTCTGACTCTGAATTCAGTCTGACTACCAAGAAAAAAAAAAAAAAATGACAAGGCATACTGAATGGTAAATATCCCAAAAGAGAGCAGCATTAGACCCAAACACTACAGGAATAAAAGCATCAGTAGAAATGTCTAAAACAAATGATAGAAGGACACAGTCTGAAAAAGAAGAGAATGTTTTAAATTTTTCAGGCAGTTATAAAAGTTGTAAATTATTTATAATGGAAATCTCAGAGTGGAATATACGACAAATTAATTAAAATAACATCATAGGCCATGCCTTCAGTGCCAGGAAGTTCAGAGAATACAGCAGAAAAACATGCCAAAACAAAATCTATATGTAGGCACATATTCTCAAACTGCAGAAATTGAAGATGAAGAAAGTCCAAAAAGAAGCCAAAAGACAAAAATGTTACCTATAAGAGAAAACTATTCATATTCTCAGAAATAATACAAATGAAGTGAAAGTGTTCAAAGAAAAGTGACATCCTAGGATTTTATACCCTGCAAAACTACTCTCAAAAGAGGAAAAGAAATGGTTTTAGACAATAGTGAAAGAAATTTATCTCCAATAAATTGTCTTACAAAAAAATGTTAACAAAAATTTTAATAAAAAGGAAATAACGACAGAAATTTGAATCTACATCAAAGAGTATCAAAGAAAGACTAAAGGTTAATTAAAAAACCTTTATGTTCTTCTATCCACTCTAACAGCTGTTCTCAACTTGCGTGTCATGACTCCTGCAGGGGTTGCATATCAGATGTTCTGCATATCATATTTACATTACCGTTCATAACAGTAGCAAAATGATGGTTAATGAAATAACAACGAAATAATTTTATGGTTGGGGTCACCACAACATGAGGAACTGTATTAAAGAGTTGCAGCATTAGGAAGGTTGAGAAACACTGCTTTAACAGATAATGGTTTGTTAAAAATAACAGGAAATATATGTATGTATGTATGTGTGTGTGTGTATATATATATATATATATAATGTTTACATACAAATATATGTTAAATGTGTATATGTTAATGTACACTTGGTGAGATGAATGGCAGTGTAACAGAGCATGGGAGGGGAGAATTTGCATTATTTTCATCCATACTATTAGTGTTAGTTGAAAGTGGGTTTGGATTAGCTGCAAATGTATATTTCCAAATGCTAGGGTTAAGAGAGAAGGTAGAGGAGGTGAAGAAAGAGTAAGTAACATGCTAAGCAATTAGAGAAGAGGAATCATGTTTAATGCTTAGTTTAAAACACAACAGAAAAGCTTCAAAGGCAAGAAAACAGAACAAGGGCATCAAATAAAGTAGCAAATATGATAGACAGCAGTCAGTTGTACTAACAATCATTTTGAATGGGGTGTAAGTACAGCAATTTATAAACAGTTGTCAGAGTGGATTAAAATAAGAATGAACTATGTTTACATTAAGGTCACTTAAAATATACATACATAAAAGGAAATGGGTGGAGAAAGATACACTAATATGAAGTGGGAGTAGCTATAGACTTCAGACAAAGCAAAAATCAAAGCAAGTAAAGTAATCAGCAATGAAGTGGGCCATTGCATAATAACAATGGGGCCAGTTGCCTGGGAAACATTAATTCTTGCAAAAAATGCAAGTAGCGATACATTGAAACACGAGAGGAAAATGCATAGGTTTAAAGGAGAAATACACTAATCTACCATTATCGTGGAAAGTTTCAGTAATAAGTCTGTGAGAAAAATGAAGAATGCTGGATCTGGTTCTTGTAGAGCATCTGACTACTATGTGTGAGGCCCGAGGTTTGATCTTCAGCCCTGGAATTTTTTAAGTTTTTAATAAATTTTATTATAAAAACTTTAAAAAAAATGTGCTCTGACATTAACTAAATCCCAAGTCTAAACACCCCAGTGAACTGCTAGGCAGTTAGAATAACACACAAATACATACACACACACATGAATACACACACACACAAATTTCTACATGTATATGTATGCCTTAATTACTTTTCCACATGAATTCCATAGCATACACCACCAACTGCTGGCAAATAAGTACACCCAAAAACCCCTTAATTGTCCTTATGAATACTGATTAAAAAACTAAACACCCTATTAAAAATTAGCATGCAGTATTCAATTCTAAAAATTACATACCTGCTGAGCATGGTGATGCATGCCTTTAATCTCAGTACTCAGAGAGGCAGTGGCAGGCAGATTGCTGTGAGTTCAAGGCTAGTCTCGGCTACAAAGTGAGTCCAGGACAGCCAAGGCTACACAGAGAAACCTTGTATCAAAAAATATATATACACTATGTCTAAGTTTTCCAGAATGCAAAGATAGGTCATTATATAAGTCTCCCAATGTAGTACAGTACATAAAATGAAGCAGTAAGTTATATCAATTTATTAAGAAAACTCATTTTTGTTAAAATTTATCCTTTATACTGAACAAACAATAAAAATTGTCATAACATTTAAAAAGCTGCATATTAAAGGCCAATAACTAGCATAATATTTAGTGATAGAATTTGGCCTCTAATAAATAATATTTAATCAATAATAAATAAAATTTATCCTCTAAGGACTAGGGCAAACATCTCTATTCACCACTTCTTTTTTAAAAACTTCTTTTCTTTTATGTGCATTGGTGTGAGGGTGTCAGACCACCTGGAACTGGAGTTACAGACAGTTGTGAGCTGTCCTGTGGTTGCTCGGAGTTTAACTCGGATCCTTTGGAAAAGCAGACAGTGCTCTAAACCACTGAGCCATCTCTCCAGCCCTGTTCACCACTTCTAATCAACAGGAAACTGGAAATTTTAGCCAAGCAATTAGGCGTGGAAAAGAGATGTCTGGTTATTATGAAAATGAAGCTTGCCACTTTAAATAAGAAACTGGAATATTAACCCTGGGACTACTGTAGTGTTGTCCAACCTTTTGAAACTGCTACATATTGTTACCTAGAGTGTGCTGAGTTATAGTCATAGCCTGGGGTGTTTGCAGCCCACCAGTCAGGCACAGGTTGGGCACACCTGTAGGGCTCTAAATAATTATTTTGGACACTTCAGAAGGAAGCATCATGTAAAAAAAATCAAGTTAAAAAATCATAGACTGATATATCACATGCCAAAAATGGACTGATATGTGTGTATATATATATATATATATATATATATATATATACACATTTGTATATATATACATTTGTATATATATATATATTTGTATATATATATTTGTACATATATAGGCACAAATACATATGCTTTTTATTGTTTCAAGATTTAAAATGTATAATCCAAATATAATGATAACAAAATGTAAAACAGGTTTATGGATATTATTTTCATAATTACAGGTAGGAAGGAAGCATAAAAAGTTGTTTTGTCTTATCCCTCAGCCACTCTCTGGAGTCTACTTTTGTTTCTGGTCCTTTTGGACATTTTGTGGGTATTCTAAATATATGCACACAAATTTGTATAGTGTATGTCTGAGTTACTTTTCCTGTTGCTGTGATAAAATACCATTACAAAAG